ATATTCTTGATCTCAGTGTCATCAATTTTTGGTGCCTAAAATGGAGATCGTGGGGCAAATGTTGAACACCCGAAATTTGAGGTAGTCACTAAGGTCGCCCAATTCTGGACAACCTCTTCACTGATCATGAAAGACCCTGAAACATTGAACCTGATGGCTCTCAGTCGCGTCATTGCATGTGAGTACAGGAGATCCACTGTGAGAAGAAAGAATCTATAACTGGCTAATGGGTTATACACAGAATCCATTGGATGTCTAAATAACTTTGGTTAGTATTGTCATCTTAATATTAAGTCTTTCCCTTATGAACATGATTGTATTTGCACATGTTTGTGTCTTCTTTAATTTCCTTAAAAAACTTTTATTAATTTTAAATGCCCGTCTTTTGCCTCCTTACTTATTACTCTTAGATATTTTATTGCTTTTCATTATATTATAAATTGAATTCTTTTCATAAATCTCCTCAGATTGTTCATTGTTAGTGTAGAAAAATGTAATTGATCCTTCTGTGTTGAATACGTATCCCACACTATTTCTGAGATTATTAGTTTAAAAAGTTTGTTGTTTGATCTTTAGGGTTTTCTACATGTAAGATCATGTCATCTTGGAACAGAGATAATTTGACATTTTCCTTCCTGTTTTGGATGAATCTTATTTATTTTTCTTGTCATTACTGTAACTGAAACTTCCAACACTATACTGACTCTAAGCGACAAAAGAAGACAGATTTTTCACATTATTGCTCTTAAACAGAAATACTTTCAGGCTTTCACCATCCAGTATGATGTTAGTTGTAAGTTTTTCATATATGGCCTTCATTATATTCAGGAAGACTCTTTCTCTTTGTAGCTGATTCAGTGTTTTTTATCATAAAAGGGTGTTGAATTTTGTCAAGGGCTTTTACCACATCAACTGAGACCATCATGTTGTTTTTCTTTCATCCTGTTAATGTGGTGTATTGCATTTACCAGGCATTTTTCTTGAACAATCCTTTCATTCCAGAAATGAATCCCACTTGGTCATGGTGTAAAATTTTTAGTATGATGCTGAATTCAGTTTTCGAGGTGTTTTGTTTTTTTTTTTTTTTAGAATTTTTAACTCTTAAATCATATGGAATACTTGTCTTCAGTTTATTTTCTCATACTACCTTTGGCTTTGTATCAAGGTAATACTGTCTTCATATAGTGAGTGAGGAAGTATTCCCTCTTCTTTAATTTTTTGCAAGAGTTAAGAATTATTGTTAATTCTGCTTTAAATGCTTGCTGTAATTAACTAGTGAAACAATCTGGTACAGGTCTAGTCTTTATTGAGAAGTTTTTCTTCTTCTTCTCCCCAAAGCCTCCTAGTACATAGTGGTGTATTCCAGTTGTAGGTCCTTCTAGTGCCTCTATGTGGGAAGCTGCCACAGCATGGCTTGATGGGCGGTGTTAGGTCTGTGCTCAGGATCTGAATCAGTGATACACTGGGCTGCTGAAGCGGAATGTGAACTTAACCACTTGGCTGTGAGGCTAGCCCCTATGGGAAGTTTTTGATTACTGATTCAATCACTTTAATGGTTAAAGCGACTACTCAGGTTTCATTCCTTCATGATTCAGTCTTTGTAGGTTATGTTTTTCTAGGAATTTTTCATTTCATCCTGATTTTTCCAATTGTTCATATACAGTTTTTCATAGTACTCTCTTTTCTATTTTCTTATTGATCTTCTGTCTCATTGTATTATCCACTATTGAAAGTGCAGTGTTGAAGTTTCCAACTAGTTTTGTAGTGGTGTCTATCCCTCCTTTCAATTCTGTCAATGTGATTTTTTTTTTTTTATATTTTGGAGGTCTGATGTTTGGTACATATATGTTTATAGGAATTCTATATTCTTGGTGGATTGACTCTTTTATCAATACATAGTAACCATTTTTTCTCTCATGACAATTTTTGTCTTAAATTTTTTTGGCTGTTACTGGTATAGCCACAACAGCCACACTCTCTTCAGGTTAATATACATGAAATTTCTTTTACTATCTTTCCCTTTCAACTATTTGTATCCTTAGATCCAAATTGGATCTCTTATAGGGGACATATACTTGAAGCTTTTTGTTTTTTAAATCCATTCTGCCAATCTATATCATTTGTTTGAGGCTGTTTATTTGCATGTAAAGTAATTACTAGTAGGGAAAGACTTGCCTTTTTATTTCTTTTTCTATGAATAAATTCCTTATTTCCTCCATTAACATGTTCCTTTGTGATTAGAGGATTTTTGGCTGTGTCACATTGTATTTCCCTTCTCATTTTAAATTGTGTATATTCTATTGTTATTGTCTTTGTGGTTCCAGGAGGATTACAGGCAATATTGTAAAGTTATAATACTTTTTTCAAGTGACAACAATTTAACTGTAGTGCCATATAAAAAGTCTACTTTTATACAGCTCAATTCCCCTCTTGCAATTGATGTTACTGATATCACTGATTTTTTTATACATTGTTGACATGTTAACATAGATGCATAGATATTTTTATACATTAATCTTTTAAATATTGTAGAAACGAGAAGTTAGAGGTATAAACCAAAATTGAAAAAGTACCTAATTTTATACTTGTCCCGTATTTACCTTTTCTGTAGGTCATTATATCTTCATATAGCTTTAAGTTACTGTCTAGTGCCCATTCATCTGAACCTGAAGCACTTCTTTTACATTTTCTGTAGAGCAGTTCTACTGTCAATGAACACTTTTAGCTTTGATTTGTCTGAGATTGTCTTAATGACACCATCATTCTGGAAGGATATTTTTACCTGATATAGAATTCTTTGGTTCACGTTGTTTTTTTCTTTTAGCCTTTTAAATACATCATCGCACTTCCTTGCCTCCTCAAGGTGTCTGATGAGAAATCTGTTGACAGTTTTATCCAGGATCTCTTGTAACTGATGGGTCATGTTTCCTTTGCTACTTCAAGATAGTCTCTTGTCTTTGTTTTTCAACAATTTGAATATATTGTTTGTAGATGTGGACATTTTTGAGTGTTTCCTACCTGTAATTCTTTGAGATTCTCAGATTTATTGATTATTTATGTCTTACATTCAGCTTGGGTAGTTTTGTTCATTATTTCTTCAGATAATCTCTCGGTCCCACTTTCACTTTCTTCTCCATATGGGACTATGACAAAATGTATATCAGTTCACATGCTGGTGTCCTCTAAGTCCTTTAAGATCTGTTCATATTTCTTCATTTTTTTAACTTTCTTTTTCTTAGGCTTCATAAATTCTATGACTTTTTTGATATTATCATTTTATTCATATATGATTCACCTGATTTCCTTTACTTCCTGTCAAATTTTTCCTTTAGCAACTTCAGCATATATGAGAGAGTTGTTTTATAACTCTCTATCTTTTCCCAATGCTTATGTTTCTTCAGGAATGGTTTTGACCAATTTTTTTCCTTTCTAGAGGATAATGGTTTTGTTTTTTTCTGTATGCTTGTGATGGTACTTAGTGGGGCATTAGAAAAAAGAGCCACATCTCCTACTCTTCTCAGATTTGGTCTGTGCCCTAAAAATTCTTCACTTATCAGCATGTCATACTGCTAGTCTTGGGAGCTGCCCAACATGAAACCTGAAAATCTATTCCGTTCTTTTCTGAGCATGCTTCTTGCCTAGCATGTGTGTGAAATTTTAATTCCTCTGAATACATGGCTGCTTTTTGAATGTCTTAATAGCCCCAAAAGACATACCCCAGATCCTCCTGAGAACTTTATGTAGTCTATTCTATGCCTTCATTCTTAGTCTCTTACTTCTGGCATCTGCACATCTGTAGTCCCCCTGCATCTATAACGAGCCATTCCAGATACTTTTCAGGTCAAGCTTAGGGTTAAGCAAAACAGACAGCTGTCTTTCAGGCAGCCCCCACAAACGTTAGAACATTGAAAATAAGAACTTCTGTGATCACTTTGGTCTGAGACAGGTAACTGGTAACTAGGATGATGCCTCTTACAGACAAAGCCTTTACTGGTCCAGGCAGGGGAAAGGGCAAGAGTGAGTAAAACATGATGTAATTTCCTATCACTTTGAACCTGGCTTTTTCCTAAATGGGTGTTTACTTTGTTTAACTCTTTTCCAGATTTCCTATAAGGTTATTTCAGCTAGTTTCTGGTTGTTTCCTTATGTTCCCATGAGGGAACTCAGAGCTTCCAAGTGCACAATTAAGTTGACATCACTCTTTGTATTAAATTTTAAATGGCTTCATAATATTCCATTGTATCAATGCTGCATAATTCTCCTACGTCGTCCTAAGGTTGTTGTAATTTAAGTTGTTTCCAGTTTTTTCTTTCATTAATCCTGTTGAGCAAGATAATAAATTATAGAAAATATTCATCAGTTTTCTGGCAGTTAAATTATGATAGTTTTCTAAAAAGTTATATAACTGGGTAAACTTTACAAACACACTATTATTCTGTTTAATGGTCTGATAATCTTCTTTCCAAAATGTCTTTTTGGGGCACACTTTTCAGGATTTCACCCTTGTTCAGATGGGATATTCTTTTGATAAAGCAAAGAAAAAACAAATTTTGCTGATGAGGAAAGTAAAAAGACAAATTTGGTCTCAATTTGAAGTTTTAATTTTACATTGATGATAAACTTTTTAAAAAATGCTCGTTAGTGATTCCTCTAAATTGTGTGTGTGTGTGTGTGTTTGTGTGTATATGGCATAAGATACTTAATTGTTTCAAATTATGTATGATCCAGAAGAGGCTTCATCATGGCAAAAACAAAAGAGAGAGATTAGTATATAGAGGTTGATGGTCTAAAATATGTTCAATAGTTGTTCAGCTAATCTCTTATAATAATTTACTAATGTACTTAGGTCCTGAAGGTAAAATTTACTTGTCATTATGTAATAGTTCATTAAGATTCCTCTTTGATAAAATCAAACCAACAAGTTAACTGGTTCCAATTCTCTTCTCATTCCATGGGTTACTGCTTTAATCTTACTAAATTTACATTCTATTTTATAACAGTTGGACTGTGTACTTGCGTGGCACCCTTCTCTTATCCATATAACCTGTGAGAGCAGAAGATTAACAGATTCTACTTAAAGAAGCAACAAACAATGGATCCCAAAGGTTGGCGTGTGGAACTAAATGATGGCCACTTCATTCATGCACTGGGATTTGGCACTTATGCCCCTAATGAGGTAAAAATAGTGGTCTTTGGGTTGAGGACTTGAAAGAAAGTAGATCTAACATGAGTGGAAGACTACTTGCATTATCAAGTCCTTGAGTTCCTTTCTGACTCTGGGAGGCTCACCTGGTTCTTGAGGCTAGGCTAGAACCGTTCCTTATACAAATAGACAAAGTAGTCAGTGTTCATTCTGCATCAGAGTCTGAGTGTGTGGCCACCCACAGATTATTCTGGGTTTTCCTCCAGTTTCCATCTATTTCCCAGGTTGTCAAAAGAGATGAGACCTCAGTCAAGAACACTGACTGTAGGCTGCCTTGCTTTAAAGGTTATTACATGGGAGTGGTTTCTCTGTGTATTTCTAGAATTCAAAAAATCTTTCCTCTGACCAAGAAGACATTATCCAGAGAAATACTTGTGGTAAAAGGCCCTAGATATGAGTTGAATAATAACTGATGGGAGAGAATTGCTGTTCTGTTGTGGGGTAACCTGCTGAGTGCCAGGAATTAAATAATCCACCTGTAGTTTCCTATGTACTTCTCCTACTGCTTGGGAATTTATCCTGAATGGAAAAATTTAGCATCATTTGAGGGAATTAGCTACAGTCTTCCAGGCCAAAATTTCAATTCTTCATCTTTGGCATCAATTTAATTGAAGGAAATAGGTAGAGTTGGACCTTGCACAGAAGAGGGAGCAAAGTGGATGAGTTGCTAAACTGGAAGCCAGAAGTTTACCTTCTAAAGTTGGCTTTAGACTATTTAGTTCTATGACCAGGGATTAGTACTTAAAAGTTGAGTATCACATTCTCATCTAGAAAACAAAAGGAAATGTTCAAAGAGATGTTTTGGAGACAGAAGACAGTCGTTGTTTACTTTGTAACGGAAAGTGGGGTGAAGGGGATGGAAGAGTCAAGGATGCCACTGAATATTCAACTTTGGTCACTCTCTGAATGTCCTCTACATCTAAGGACTGAGCACAACCAGCAGAGAGCAGTTAGAACAAATATCTAGTTCCTAGTAACATCATTGAATAAAGAAAGCTTATGAAATACTTAAAAAGCAATGGAATAATACTCACCCATAAAACAGGTGGAAATTTTGCCATTTGCAACCAGATGGATGAACCTGGAGAACATTATGCTAAGTGATATAAGACAGATACAGAAAGACAAATACTGCATGATTCCACTTACATATGGAATTTAAAAAAGTCAAACTCACAGAAGCAGAGAATAGAGGGGTAGTTGCATGGGGCTTGGAGAGACAGCAGTTGTAAAAATGGGGAGATATTGGTCAAAGGGCACAAACTGTCAGTTATATGATGAAGAAGTTCTGGGGAAATAATGTTCAGCACGGTGACCATGGTTAATAATACTATATTACATTCTTCAGATTTGGTAAGAAGGAATATCTTCAGTGTTCTAACACACATTCACACAAAGCAGTTAACTAAGTGATGTGAGAAGTATTTTAACAGCTTAATTGTGGTAATCATTTCATGATGCATAAGTATGTCAAAACATCAGACTGTACAACTTAAATATATAGTTTTTAAATTCACATACAATATTTATTTGGCATTTCCTGTGTGACAACACTGAAAGAGGGCACTTAGAAGTGATCACTTTACTTTTGGAAGTTTTATTCCATATAGCTTTTCCCTTTGTTGATTTTGCTCAGTAACCTCTCACAATATGAATAGTACCCATGACTATAACTATATGCTGAGTCCTGTGATTTCTTTCAGCAAATCACTGAACCTGGGGCTGGTCTTGGGCATGTTCAATTCTACCAATCAACCAGTGAATGCCTGAGATTGAAGGAGTTGTTGGGATTCCCACTTTAGTTAATTACCAGAAAAGACCCAGGCAAACTGCCACGGGTTCATCAATACACATGCAGAAATGACCCAAAAAACAAGGAAAAATTAATTCTTAGGAAGGTCAAAGTTGTGCCATAGCTATCTGTCAATCACGTGGATATCCAACTACTACCTTTGGTTGCTCATCTAGGTTCCTAAGAGCAAAGCTGTGGAGGCCACCAAATCAGCTATAGATGCCGGCTTCCGCCATATCGATTGTGCTCATTTGTACGACAATGAAAAGGAGGTTGGATTGGCTATCCGAAGCAAAATTCAAGATGGCACTGTGAAGAGAGAAGACATATTCTGCACTTCAAAGGTGCTGTTTATTTGGTGTGTGTTTGTGCACAGATGTGACCGTGATTGTGTGGAGATGACAATTGTATGTTGGGACCAGTTGTGTGGAGAATTTTCCTTATTGGTACAACTTTGTTCACACATATTCATGTATTAAGACTAGTGTCAGGGGCCAGCCAGGTGGTGCAGTGGTTAAGTGTGCACATTCTGCTTTGGCAGCCCATGCTTCGCAGGCATGAGCACTTGGTGTATCAAACAAGATATGCCTATTTCTATAGATACAGATAAAGATATAGATGGAATTGACCCCAGCACATGTTAATATGTTTGAAGCACTTTTTATCTAAAAATGTAATGCTATTTATTCTCCAGAGGAATGAATATCTTACAGAATTAGGCTGTTTGTGAACTGCTTTGTAACGTCCATCAAACAGAATTCAGATAATGGACATGGTTATTATTTGATAACACTTTTTATCTTTTGGTTCATTCCCTTCCATTGTTAGTAGAGGTACTAATGATAAACCCAAATGAATAACAGAGTATCTAAGAGTAAGTCAGATCAAAAGACAATGAAAGCAAGAAAAATGTATTTTTCCTCTGTAGTCATCAGTTTTCAACTGTAGAAAAATGTCTATTTATTAGGTGAAACAAGAAAAACAAAACGGACTGAAGTATTAATCCAATGCAACTTCCATTCTTTAACCTCTGCAGCTTTGGGCTACTTCTCTTCGACTGCAATTGGTCCGGCCTGCCTTGGAAAAGTCTCTGAAAAATCTTCAACTGGACTATGTTGACCTCTATATTATTCATTTTCCTGTGGCTGTCAAGGTTGGCCATTTGCATGATCACATCTATTTTACTTCTCGTGTCAGAATGTTTTTCAGCTTGCATGCATGTCTGAATCAATATTTTGCTTAGAAGGATGTAGGGATTATTACACTAGAGAAGAATCCCCAAAATAATAATTCCTGATCAGCTTTTTGTGTACTTTTTTTGAATCCTTAATTACTTTTCCATGCCTCCAAGATAAAAGAGTTCAGCAATCTCAACACCACTGCCTCAAAAACTTGAGGAAATAAAAATAGGAAAGCTCAATGTGCAGTCCTGTTTATGACTCCAGAGTCTCTTAGGGATGTCACAAACAGAGAGATTCACACAGATGTAATGATCAATGAAATTGCCTTATGCTTTTGCATATGAGTTGTTCTCCTCATTCGTCATTTCTAGTGGAAAGTAGATACGATGGTACTCTCTTTGGGTGGGTCTAACACTAGTAGCTGTCATGGGAACTTGGGAGACCTAGCCTACACCACTGGCTATCTTCAGGATGGAATTTTGTAGATTGCCTTTAGCCATTATGGATTGTCTTATGCAGGATTCTTGATTTTAAGCTATAGAAAGATACTAAAGATATCCTTTGCAGAAGAGTTTATTGGACTATGTAATGGAAAATCCAAGCCATTGATAGTTTTAAGGATTTGGAATAGTCTTCGGAAAAGTCTCATTTTCCCTATCCCTTACCTTTTCATTATTATTGGTTTGCTTTATTTTTGTTGCAACATTTTCCATTGGTGGCAAATATAGCCCTGGGGCATGTTCAAGGCTCACAGTCATTAACACTTGAGAGTATCTCTCATCCTCTAACATTCATATTAATCCTTAAGAGAACCTTAAGTGACCCTGTTTGGTTCGTGTGCCTGCCCTTGGACCATTGAATGTTCAGACGGATAAGGAAGTCTGATTATCTAGCCAGGGTCAAGATTCTAATTTTTTTTCTGTAAATAAAATCATGTAATTTACTGTCATTTTCAGTGTAAGGGAGGCTTTTTGCTAGAGTAAGGTATAGGGCAGACAATGGTAGCATAAGTTACTCTGACTCCCCTTTAGGATCTAGGAAAATGACATTTATTAAAACGTAATCAGCATAAGAAATTAGTCGAAACCTGTGACCTAAATGCATTTCTTACAACTCCATATGCAAACCATGTTGCAAATATTAGTATCTAAAATGTTACACCACCTAACTCACAGAGGTTTAGTGTTCTGGCCCTAGATGTACCTGGCAGCATTGCTAAACGTGGAGAAATTATTTTGTGACATCACTAACACGGCTGCTTCTATTCCAGCCAGGGGAGGAACATCTTCCACAAGATGAACAAGGAAGAATGATATTTGACACAGTGGATCTCTGTGCCACGTGGGAGGTGAGTGCTTGGAGGAGAGGCCACAGGGGAAATCAAGAGAGGGGCAGTCTTTTTTCCCTCTCCACTTTTGAGAATGGGCTATGTACCTTTGTATTCAACAACTCATAAACTTTAAAAGAAGGGGTATGCTTTAGTGGTGTGGAGGAAATCGTTACTGAAATGTGTATTGAGAGAAATAGGGCAGAATAATTTGGGACAGGAATGATAGGCATCTCTTTCCTTCTATGTGCAATAATCTTTCACATTTTTCTCAGAAGAAGACAATAATTCTTATCCTTGTTGTCACTATATTCTTTCCCTGTTTAATTTACTACTTTTTTCTCTTCTCATTAATCAAGCCAATTGGCTTCATTGTCATTTCTTGACAGTTGTTCCTTTCAACAGATTTTTCTTGCATTTATTCTTGATCTATAAGTGATTGCACAAATGACTCCTCACCAACACTTCCTCTCCAGGCCATGGAGAAGTGTAAAGATGCAGGATTGACCAAGTCCATCGGAGTGTCCAACTTTAACCGCAGGCAGCTGGAGATGATCCTAAACAAGCCAGGGCTCAAGCACAAGCCTGTGTGCAACCAGGTGAGCACCCTTGGATTACTCTCCCTTCTGTTCTCCATCTCTTTCTTCTTGCACTCTGCCAGATGTCTATTTGCTTCCCCTCCTATTCACCCTACCTTTACGGCGCAGACGATTCCAGAAAGCAGAGCCTCAGTGTTGATGGACATGGATAGAAGTGATAATGTATCTCTTTTTGCAAAGTCTTAGTGAAAAAATTATTGAGACTTTAGTTCTAAGTTTTCTATAGGAATTCAGGGAAAGTAAAAGAATTACTGGAGAGCTAGAATATTTACCCAGACCTTAGAGGGAAGGTGACATTTCGCTGAGCTGTAAGTGATGGTCAGAGTTTGGTGGAGTGAAAGTGATTTGAAGGGAATTGTGTGCAGGAAGGAAGATCGTGAACACATGGAATTGGCAGTAAATAAGGAAAGAGTGAAAATAAGGTGAGGTAGTTAGGGGTTTGTATGGGGTTTGTATGTCTGAGTCTTTTGTCTTGGTATTTCTGCTTTCAGGGGTCTTTGAATAGGAAGCATGGATACAAGAAAACTTAATTGGAGTCTATGAAACTCATACAGGCTAGAGGGATGGTTTCTGGTGATATTAATGGTGGACAAATTCAACATTCTGTAACATTTTCAGGAATATAGAGCAGATCTTATTATTTAATCAGTCTTAGTCTGGTCCTCCTCATTGATTTTTACGCTTAAATGAACTGTTCATACACATGATTCTGTATCTGGTTCTGTACTGTTACATTTTTTGTCTATTTTTATTTTGCTAGCATAAGAACACAACATGGGATCTACCTTCTTATAGAATTTTGAAGGATGCAACACAATACAATACAATATTGTTAACTATGGGGACTTACAGAGCAGATCTGCATAACTTATTCATCTTGCGTAACTGAGACTCCAAGGCCACAGCGAACAACTCCAGGCTTCTCCCTCCTCTCCACTTCTGGCAACCACATTTCTTCTCTCTGATTCTATGAGTATGACTAACTAAGATTCCTCACATACGTGGTATCATGCAGTACTTGTCCTTATATGAATGTCTTATTTCATTTACCATAACGTCCTCAAAGTATAACTTGGAGTCAAGAAGAAAGCATCTTCTGTTGGAAAATGTGACATAAAATTCAATAATTTGACATATAGTGATATAGCACTTCTGATTTTCAATTATAAATGTTAAAACTTTCATGTGATACTAGCATTAGTTTTACTCTCAATTTTTATTATGAATTGAATAAAATGAATTAATAAAATTATGAATATTATTATGAATATTCAGATAGTAAGAGAAGTCGAGTATGATAGAGAACATCCATGTTTTCCCTCCTACATTTAAAATTTTTAACATTTTACCACATTGCCAAATATAACTCTGTAAATATATATATATGTGTAATTTTTCGCAGACCCTCTTCAAAGTAAGTTGTAGATATGACAATTCCCCTTACAAACCTCAGAAAGCATACGATCTAGCATTCAATCCATATTCAAACTTTCCTATGGTTTTCCCAATGGCTTTTGTAGGCCTTTTCTAATCAGGAGCCAATTGTGGACCATATTTTACTTTCATTCATGTTTAATAAGCTTTCTTAAGCAAAAATGGTCACTCAACCTCTTTTGTACCATGACTTCCAGACAGATTTTTGTTGGATATTCTGAATTTTTCCAATTGTTGTCTTGTGATATTAACTAACTTGTTTCTCTAGTCCCAGTTTCTATAAAACTAGAAGTTAGATCTGAATGCCTTATTGCACTAATGTTAAATATTTATGGCAAGAAAATGTCCTTTGCATGCTGTGTCCCTGAAATTGCACTCTGGTAGGCAGCCTGTCATGACAAATTGTCCCAATGTGAAGGGTGTTAGTTTGTTTGTCTTGGTTAAGGTAGTTGTAGTCAGGCATTCTCTTTGTAAATGTATATTTTCCGCTTTGAAATTATCTAGCAATCTGTCCAGTGATAATTATATCAGTGAAAGTCATAATGCACTCAAGTTTTCACATAGTGGTTGAGTAGCCATCAATTATTTTACCTTCAATTAGTTATTTCATTGGGATTTGTAAATAGTTATTTTCCATTTTAAGCATTATTTTATAATTTTTTTTACCTGGAATTTTATCATAAACAGAAAATTCCCTCAGCTTACTCTCTCTCTCTCTCTTTCTCTCATCACTGTGCACTCATGGGTTTTACTTACTGTATGTGTTATAATTGCTTTTAGTCATTATTCCCTTTGTTGCTCAAATCTACCATATGTCACCATTTTAATCCCCATCAAAATGGTTCTTTTGTCCTTTAGATATCTTTTCACAAGTCTGAATAATTTCTTGCTTTCTGGCACTATTTGATGTCGAAGGCTCAAACAGCTCTTTTCCTATCCAAGATCTAGAATTAGCCATGTCTTCTTGCATTATACCATGGTATCGAGTAATCAAGATCTGATCCATGGAGTCACTTGTTCTCAGGAATGTCATCCTTTTTCGAGTTTTTTTTTTTTATGCTTTTAGAGAACAGAGATATAATATTTATTTTTAAAAAATAATTACTTATCTTCATATTTCCAGTTTAAATTTGATAATACACAGATTTTTATTCAGCTTATTTTTTGCTTTTAACCTGTTTTATTTTAATATTGTCATTTCACATAATCTGACACTCTTCTATCTTGGTATTCTGCAGGTGGAATGTCACCCTTATCTCAACCAGAGCAAACTGTTGGATTTCTGCAAGTCAAAGGATATTGTCCTGGTTGCCTACAGTGCTTTGGGAAGCCAACGTGAACATTGGTAATGAAGACAACAGGGAGATTCCCTAAAACACTATTTTTGATGAAATAGTTTTAATGATACCCCACTCAGTTTTCCGGAATGAACTCTCAATCAATTTGGTGGAGAAAGAGGAGGGATGGAAAAAAATCCTTGTCCGTTATCACCCCATCACCCTGCCAATTCTTTACTATTGTATGTAACTGCTTAATCAATAGCAATTGCCTGCATTAACATCTGTATATGATCCAAAAATTCAGACAAAAGACATAAGTTTAAGTCATGATTTATTTATTTACTAACTAATTAAGCCATTTTCAGTAATATACTCTCTAAGCTTCACTTAATTTATGTCTAAAATCAGAATGGTAACATATAACTCCCAGGGGCTGGCCTGGTGACATTCTGGTTAATTTCACACATTCCACTTTTTGGCTCAGGGCCCTCAGGTTCGGATCCCAGGTACAGACCTACATGACACTCATCAAGCCATGCTGTGCTGGATGGCATCCCACATGTAAAAAACAGAGGAAGATTGGCAGAGATGTTAGCCCGGGGACAGTCTTCCTCAAGCAAAAAGAGGAATATTGGCAATGGGTGTCAGCTAAGGACCAATCTTCCTCACACACACACAATATACATATATATGTATACAATATATGCATATATGTATATGTATATATAGCACCCAGGTTTATCATGAGAGAAAAAATTATAATCTGAAACATTTTTGCAAACTTCTATAGAAATATTGCACACTATGAGTAACGATAAAAGAAGTAGTTATCATCATTTTGGGACTACTCAACTTTTATCAATATCTTAGAAAAGGAAAATAAAAACTATCCTATACTTTCCCTTCCTCTTTCTCCTTTCATACCTTTGTTCTTACTTTGAGGACTAGGATCAGAGAAGAAAGACAGCCACTGAGAAGGAGTAAGAAAAAATTCATGATTTGGAAACATCAGTCTGAACTCAAGCCTGCATCTAAATGACATGGAGGGATTTGAAAACACAGAATGTTAGGTGCTACATCTTAATTTCTGAATCAGGTGGTCTTGGAGGAAGTGATGGAATTTGCCTTCCTGACAAGTTCCCAGATGATAGTGATGCTTCTGGTCCCAGGACTACATTTTGAGAAGCACTGGTCCAGAGTGGACTTACTGAGTCTGTTTTGGAAGTCTCCCAACAAACTGAGTACTGAGTCTCAGGTCTTCAACATTACTGCATTTCCCTCCAGGATAGACCAGAGCTCCCCAGTCCTCTTGGAGGATCCAGTTCTTTGTGCCATGGCAAAAAAGTACAAGCGAACTCCAGCACTGATTGCCCTTCGCTACCAGCTACAGCGTGGGGTGGTGGTCCTGGCCAAGAGTTACAATGAGAAGCGGATCAAAGAGAATGTGCAGGTGATGAGTGAGGCTGTGGGCATAGGTCTTCTGCATAATATCCTTCATGTGTGTTCTTCTTTGTAAGGCTCTCAATTCATCTTTGGGCTCAGATGAGTTATCTGTTATTTCCCATGCATGTATACCTTATGTTTATTGCCACCGGTTTTCTCCTGCTGTTGCCACAGTAAGAGATTGGACAGAAAAGAGAGATTTCATTTCTAGCATGAAGTCTTCAATGTACTCTTTAACCCTATGAAAGTAAATCTCATTTCTTGATTCTAAAATGAGGGAAATGGATTAGGGGATTTTCTTTATCTATTTAGGCTGCTATAAGAAAACACAATAGACTGGAGGTCTTGTGAACAACAGAAATTTATTTCTCACAGTTCCAGTTGCTGGAAGTCTGAGATCAAGGTGCCAATGTGGTTGGATGATAGCTTCCTTCTGGGACTCACATTTCTCATTGTATCTTAACATGGTAGAAGCGGTAATGGATCTCTTTCTGGTCTCTTTTATGGAGGCATTGATCTCATTCAAGAGGGCTCCCCTGTCATGACCTAGTTAACCCTCAAAGGACATACTTTCTAATGCTACCACAATGGGGGTTAGGTTTCCAACATATGATTTTGGAGGCATGCAAACTTCAGAATGTAGCAGTGATCTTCAATCTCCAAATCACTGTGATTTAGTTTGCATTTCCTTGAATAATAATGTACTTTCATCTTCATGTATTTATTCTCTCTGAGTTTCCACATTTGTGGAGTCCCCGATCAAGTCTTTGTCCATTTTTATTAAGATGTTATTCATTTTATTTATGTGTAGGGAGAGCATTAGCTATAGCTGCATAACAAATGATCCCCAATTTAGAATTTTACTACAAAAGCTGTTTATTTGGCTCATGATTCTGTGGTTTGACAATTAGCCTGGGCTCAACTAAGCAGTTTTCTTAGCTGAGGTTTGTCATGTATTTGCAGTTAAATGACAAATAACTCTGCAGCTCAGCTTTACAAAGTTATTTTGGCTGTTGTCAGTGGTGGTTAAACTCTGTTCCTTATAACCTTTCACACGATGGGCTAGACTGGAGACAACTAGCCTGTACTTCATCACATCACAGTGGCAGGATCTCAAGGAAGTGAGAAGATACTTGCAGCGTCTTTTCATATGTAGTCTCAGAATGGACTCACTCCTGCTTCTGGCAAATTTTATTGTCCAGTACAACTTACAGGCCAGGCCAGATTCAAGGATTAGAGAATCTTGCAAAAGTGCTTTTGTCTTCTCATTCAAATTTGGGTCTCTAATACACCGAATTAATTTTTTAATATGATGTGAAAATGGACTCAAATATGTATATGTTTAAATGGAAATCCAAATGTCCATATTTTCCCACAGATTTGTGTTGTCTTCTCTGTCATATATCCAATGTCCCTCAGTCTATTTCCTGCCTCTTTATTTTATACAACTACTTAATTTTCTCTACTGTCACATTATCATGGAAAGTAAGTCTTGTTTTTCAGAATTTTAAAATTTTTTCTTTATTCCTTTTTCTTAGTTCAGAATGTCTTGGCTATTCTTGACTAGTTGTCCTATTTTTATTTTTTTTCTTCAGTTCATAATAGTTTACATCATTGTGAAATTTCAGTTGTACATTATTTCTTGTCTGTCACCAAGAAGGTGCTCCCCTCCACCCCCTGTGTCCACCCCCCCCCCCCACACTCCCATTCCCCTGGTAACCACTGAACTTTTTTCTTTTTCCATGTGCTTGTTTATATTCCACACATGAGTGAAATCATCTGGTGTTTGTCTTTCTCAGTCTGGCTTATTTCACAAAGAATAATTCCCTCCAGGTCTTTCCATGTTGTTTCAAATGAGATGAATTTGTCTTTTTTCTGGCTGAGTAGTATTCCATTATTTTTATACCATATCTTCTTTATCCAATCATCATTCAATGGGCAGTTGATAGTTTCCATGTCTTGGCTATTGTGATTAGTGCTGCGATGACCAAAGGGGTACATAGCTTACTTCAGATTGTTAATTTCAAGTTCTTTGGGTAGATACCTAGCAGTGGGATAACTGGGTCATATGGTAGCTCTCTTTTTGATTTTTGAGGAATCTCCATACTGTTTCTCATAGTGGCTGCACCAGTTTTCATTCCCACTAGCAGTGTATGAGGGTTCCCTTCTCTCCACACTCTTCTCTCCAACATTTGTTATTTTTAGCTGCAGTGATTGTAGCCATCTTAACAGGCATATGGTGGTATCTTCGTGTACTTTTGATTAGCATTTCCCTGATGATTACTGGCATTGAACATCTTTTCATGTGTTTGTTGGCCATCTCTATATCTTCTTAGGAAAAACGTTTGTTCATATCCTCTGCCCATTTTTTGATTGGGCTGTTTGCTTTTTTGTTGTTCAGTTATGTGAGTTCCTTTTATGTTATGGAGATTAACCCCTTATTGAATATATGATTTGGAAAAATTTTCTCCCAATTGGTCAGTTGTCTTTTGGTTTTGATCCTAGTTTCTTTTGCCTTGCAGAAGCTCTTTATCCTGATGAACTCCCACTTGTTTGTGTTTTCTATTGTTTCCTTAGTCTGTGAAGACACGGTATTCGAAAATGTCCTTTTAAGTTCAATGTCAAAGATTCTACTACCTATATTATCTTCCAGGACTTTTATGGTTTCAGTACGTATCTTCAAGTCTTTGACTCATTTTGAGTTTATTTTTGAATATTGCATGAGATAATGGTCCACTTTCATTCTTTTTCATTTGGCTGTCCAGTTTCCCCAAGACCAGTTATTGAAGAGACTGTCTTTTCTCCATTGTATGTTCTTGGCACATTTGCCAAAGATTAGTTGTCTCTAGATGTGTGTTTTTGTGTCTGGGATTTCAGTTCCGTTCCATTAATCTGTGTGCCTGTTTTTGTACAAATACAATGCTGTTTTGATCACTATGGCTTTCTCATACATTTACAAGTCAGGGATTGTGATGCCTAAGGCTTTGTTCTTTTTTCTCAGGATTTCTTTGTCAATTTGGGATCCTTGGGTGCACCATAAGAATTTTAGGATTCTTTGCTCTATTTCTGTGAAGAATGTCATTGGGATTCTGATTGGGATTGCATTGAATCTGTAGATTGCATTAGGTAGTGTGGACATTGTAACTATGTTTGTTCTTCCAATCCATGTGCATGAAATCTCTTTCCATCTCTTTACGTCATTATCTATTTCTTTCAATAACGTCTTATATTTTTAATGTATAAACCCTTTTCCTCCTTAGTTAAATTTATTCCTAGGAGCTTTATTCATTTTATGCCATACTAAATTGAATTGAATTCCTTAGTTCTCTTTCTGCAAGTTCGCTATTGGACTGCAGAAATGCAACTGATCTTTCCATGTTGATTTTGTATCCCACAACTTTACTGTAATTGTTAATTATTTCTAATACTTTTCTGGTGGATTCTTTAGGGTTTTCTACGTATGACATCATGTCGTCTGCAAACAACGAGAGCTTCACTTCTTCAATTACTATCTGGATTCCTTTTATTCCTTTCTCTTGCCTAGTTGCTCTGGCCAAAACCTCGAATACTATGGTGAATAAGAGTGGTGAGAGTGGGCATCCTTGTCTTCTTCCTGTTCTCAGGGGGGTGGCATTCAGCTTTTTCCCATTGAGTATGATGTTGGCTTTGGGTTTGTCATACATGGCCTTTATTATGTTGAGGTAATTTCCTTCTATCTCCATTTTGTTAAGAGTTTTTTTTTTATCATAAATGGCTGTTGGATCTTGTTAAATGCTTTCTCTGCATCTATTGAGATGATCATGTGGTTTTTCTTCCTCATTTTGTTAATACAGTGCATGACATTGATTGATTTGTGGTTGTTGAACCATCCCTGTGTCCCTGGAATAAATCCCACTTGATCGTGATATACGATGTCTTTGATGTATTGCTGTATTCAGGTTGCCATTATTTTGTTTAGAATTTTTGCATATATGTTCGTCAGCGATATTGGCCTGTAGTTTTCCCTTTTTGTGTTGCCCTTGTTACGGGTTGGTATCCGAGTGATGTTTGCCTGGTAGAATGTGTTAGGAAGCGTTCCATCTTCCCTAATTTTTTGAAATAGCTTGAGGAGGATAGGTATTAAATCCTCTCTGAAAGTTTGTTAGAATTCCACAGGGAAGCCATCTGGTCCTGGGCTTTTATTCTCTTGGATTCTTTTGATTACTGTATCAATCTCTTTACTTGTGATTGGTCTATTCAGGTTCTCTATTCCTTCTTGATTCAGCTTTGGGAGGTTGTAAGAGTCTAAGAATTTATCCATTTCCTCTAGATGGTCCATTTTGTTGATGTGTTCTTTTTTGTAGTTTTCTCTTATAATCCATTGTATTTCTGTGCTGTTATTTCTCCTCCTTCATTTCTAATTTTATTTATCTCAACTTTCTCTCTTTTTTTATAACACTGGCTAGGGGTCTGTCAATTTTATTTATGTTCTCAAAGAGCTGGATCTTTGTTTTATTTACCCTTTCTACTGCCTTTTTTGTTTTAATAGCATTAATTGCTGCTCTGATTTTTATTATTTCACTGCTTCTGCTGACTTTGGGCTTTCTTTGTTCTTCTTTTGCTAATTCAATTAGATGTAGCTTGAGATTGCTTATTTGAGGGTTTTTTGTTTGTAAACTTGAGCCGGTATTGTGATGAATTTCCCTCTTAATATGGCTTTTGCTGCATCCCATATGATTGGTAATTACATTTTCATTTTCATTTGTCTCCAGATATCTTTTGATTTCTTCTGTAATTTCTTCAATCATTCATTGGTTGTTCCATAGCATGTTGTTTAGTTTCCACATCTTTATCCTTTACTCAGTTTTTTTCTTGTAATTAATTTCTAGCTTCATAGCATTGTGATCAGAAAAGATGCTTGTTATTATTTCAGTCTTCTTAGATTTATTGAGGGTTGCCTTGTTTCCCAACATATGGTCTATCCTTGAGAATGTTCCATGCACATTTGGGAAGGATGTGTATACTGCTGTTTTTGAATGGAGTATTCTATATATGTCTATTAAGTCCATCTGGTCTAGCTTTTCCTTTAGCTCCACTTTTTCCTTACTGAATTTCTGTCTGGATGATTTATCCATTGATGTGAGTAGAGTGCTGAGGTCCCCTACTATTATTGTGTTATTGTTAATGTCTTCTCTAAGGTTTGTTAATAATTGCTTCATGTACTTTGGTGCTCCTGTGTTGGGTGCATGGATATTTTTGTTATTTCTTCTTGATGGAATGTCCCTTTGATCATTATATACTGCCCCTCTTTGTCTGGCTTTACTTTTCTTATCTTGAATTCTACTTTGTCTGATATACATATTACCACACCTGCTTTCTTTTGTTTGCCATTAGCTTGGAGTATCATCTTTCTTCCCTTCATTCTGAGGCTGTGTTTGACATTGGAGCTGAGATGTGTTTCCTGGAGGCAGCATAGTGTTGGGTCTTGTGCTTTAATCCATCTTGTCACTATGTGTTTTTTTATTGGAGAACTCAATCCATTTACATTTAGGGTTATTTTGGATATGTGAGATCTTAATGCTGCCATTTTATCCCTGGTTTTCTGGTTCTCCTGCATTTCCTTATTTTCTCATCCTGTGTATTTTGGTCTACCAATTGAGTTATGCAGTTTTTTATGTTTTGTTTCTGTGTTTTCTGCTTCTTTATTATTTGTGTCTCTGTTCTGCTTTTTGTTTAGTGGTTATCCTGAGGTTTGCATTCAAGTTCTCATGGATAAGATAGCCCTTTTCTGATGGCTTCTAATTTCCTTAAACTAAACCGATTCAGTCCCTTTCCTCTTCCCCTCCTAAATTGTTTTTCCCACATCGTACTTCATCTTGTGTTATGATTTTGTGGTTAAAATGACAAGATTTTCTTTGTTTTCTTCCCTTTGTTTTTAAAGCTATACTTGAGTATTTTCTATCAGGCTCTGATTCTGTCTACCTATTTAACTCCTTACTCTGTGCTTTGTAACCCCTTCCTCCGCCCCCCCCCCCTTTTCTTTTCAGATATGAGGACTTTCTTGAGGATTTCTTGTAGGGGGTGTCTTGTGGCTATGAGCTCTCTTAGCTTATGTTTGTCTGGGAAAGGTTTTATTTCTCCATCATATCTGAAGGATATTTTCCCTGGATAGCATATTCTTGGATGAAAGTTTTTGTCCTTCAATGACTTGAATATGTCATTCCAGTCTCTCCTAGCGTGTAAGGTTTTTGCAGAGACATCTGCTGAAAGTCTGTTGGGGGTTCCTTTTGTAGATTATTTTCTTCTGCCTTGCTACCCTTAGTATTCTTCCTTGTCATTCAGTTTTGCCACTTTCACTACTATATGCCTTGCAGTAGGTCTTTTTACATTGACGTAGTTAGGAGATCTGGCAGCTTCTTCTACATGAATTTCCTTCCCTAGGTTTGGGAAATTCTCTGCTGTTATTTCTTTCAACAACTTTCTACTTCATTCTGCTTCTCTTCTCCTTCTGGAATACCTGTAATTCTTATGTTTCTTTTCCTAATTGAGTTGGATAGTTCTTGGAGACTTTCTTCATTTCTTTTTACTCTTGCTTTTCTCTCTCCTCTTCTATCTGGAGCATTTCAAGATGTTTATCTTCGATTTTGCTGATATGCTCCTCTGTGGTGTCTGTTTGAGCATTCAGAGAATCCATATTTTCTTTTATTTATTTCATTGTATCTTTCATGTCTTACATTTCTGACTGGTTCTTCTTTATAGTTTCTATTTCTTTTGTGAAGGATCTCCTGAACTTGTTGAATTGTTTCTCTACATTCTCTTTTACTTCATTGAGTTTTTTAATGATAGCTGTTTTGAATCCTTTTGTCATTTAGATTACATATTTCTGTGTTCTCAAGCCTTATTTCTGGGTACTTGTTATTTTCTCTCTGGTCTGGAGTTATAATATAGTGTTTCCTATTGCTAGAGGAGGTGGCTCAGTTCTTATGCATCCTGGTGTTATTCAGTTACAGTTTCCACCTATTGTCAATTGGTTGGTGTCAAAAGCCACATATTCTGAGTCTTCTGCCTTCAGGTAAAATCCCAGGGACTAGAGCTGGCATTGAGCAGTTGGGGGGAGGTGTGCTTTCTCCTGTGTGCTCTCGGGGTTTTCTCCCTCTCCTCTCTTGGGGTGTTGGCTTGGTAAGGTCCCTCCTAGTGGAAACTTTCTTTCACCCCTGTATAGGGCTTCTCTCTAGGTTGCAAGAGTCCTTTGGAGTCCTTGAATTTCCTGTGAATAAACATCTCCTTCCCACTTCCTTCCATCTAGGAGGCCTCACATGGTCCCAATTGCAGTCTTTAAGGGAGGGAACAAAGATTTCTCTTACCTCATCCTCCTCCTCCAAGGGGGATTCAGCCTCTCTGCCCTCCATCACATAGCTGCATAGTCACTGTGACGTTTTTTATGTTGTATGTGGATGTCATCTGTTGGAGCATGGATTTATTTTCATTGTATATTGGAAGTGAAAGATTTCTGAGAGACCTCACTGTGCCATGATGCTGACATCACTTGACTAGTTGTTATTTAATGTTAAAATAATGTCACTTATCAATTTTCACAAAAATAAAAGCATAAATCTTCCATTCATATTGCATTCAAACTATAGATAACTTTGAAGAAAAATGTCTTCTCTACAATATTAATATCTCTAAACCATGATCATAACATTAATTTTAATCACTTTGGTATTCATTATATATGTTTAATAAATTTCATAACTTTTTCGACAATGGCATTTACATAATTCTTTTGTTAGCTTTATTCATAGATAAGTGATAAATTAGATACCCTTTTGATAAATTTTTCCTAATCTTTTATTTTGAGGATTTTCAAATGTGCAGGAAAGTTGAAAGAGCAATTGCAATAAATGCATGACTTAAATACATCAGTTGTTATATCGTTGACATTTTTCCTACTATCTATCTATCAATCAAATTGTCCATCTCTGAATCTATCCTTCCAACTACTGTATGTATTGCTATGTTAGAACATTATTATGGATTGATGGATTTACTTGTTTCAACATATTAGCCATTATCAACACTCTTTTTGGTGCTTAAAGTGTCCTCCATTTAGATAGTGACATCCCCTTCAAGCCAGTTACTGTGTCCTTTGAATATGACATCATTAGTTTTTCAAAAATTATTGCTTTAAATGACCTTGGAAAAAGTTTCTCCACATTCTAACTCTTTATTGGTGGGCTTTAGAAATCCACATGTATTATTAAAAATTACCAAATTATATGTTTTATTTTCAAAATTTATTTCTAGATTTTTCTGGATTTGCTGAGCTCATTACCCTATCTCTTTGAATAATGTCAACTTTGATACTTCAGCTTTTAAAAAAATCTCCTTTTGTCTGTTGTCTTGTGCAGTTTTAATATACTCTACCTAGGGATGGATTTCTATTTAATTTTTGCCTTATATTTATTACCACTTGAGTATTTTGCTGATGTGTTTAAAAACTTGTTTGGAAACTTGTGAGACATTTTGAGTGTTGCCTCTGTACCATTCAATCCGATTTGCCTGAATTTTCTGGATTGGTATTTACGCAATCTAAAATTTGTGAAAATCTTTCTATTTCTGTGATAGGCTTTTGGGTTCCAGTTGACTTCAGAGGACATGAAAGTCCTAGATGGCCTAAACCGAAATCTGCGATATGTTACTTTAGAAATGTAAGTGACTTTGGTCAACATGTTGGGCTCAATTCATTTTCTGATAATGAGTGTATGATGTTAAAATTTACCTCAATACCAGGAGGACAGAGGCCAGTTTGAGACAGAGATGGGACAGGTACTTTCTAGAATGTCATCCCAGATTCACTCCAGAGCTTTGTTCACTGTCACAACAGCAGGGTGAATGGATCAGGGTAAGCTTGAACTTTCAGACATATGTCCTGCCCTCATCACTCCAAGGAACTTTCCAAGAAGCTAGATATTGCTGAATCTACATCTTCCATGTATGCCTACCATTTCTACAACAATCCAGTGGACATACACTGTGGATATCACCAGTGTAGCCTAATTCAATGTTTACAAAACTGTGTTTTTCATCTTCTTCTCCCAACTTCTCAATTCTTTATCAGATTAAAAGATTCTCCATAAAGTTTGTGGTCCATGCCAGAAATGCCCATCAGTCCCATATGGTATCTTCATGAGATCCTGCTAAGTTTATGTCCTTCACAAGTTTCCAAATTTCTTCCTTCTTTTTCAATGCATGTTTGTTCAGAACCCAAATAATGCATTTCCCTCTAGAAAGGCTAGCCTTGTGGGATCAATTAGAATTCTTGGTTTAGATTTTCTGAAAAACTAAGATCTCAGTGAAGAAGACAAAGCTTTTAAGAAGAGAGATTTAAACCATTGGAAGTATGTGGAGGCAAAAGTACCACTGTTGGAGAGAATTTTTAGCCAATAAAACGTCTTTATGATTACTTCATGCTCTAAGCTTCTGGAATTTTGAGAAAAGGACTTCAGTATTAATGAGCGAAAGAGAGTGCACATTTTTTCTGCCTGTGAGAATTTTAATTCATAATTGTAATAAATGTGATAATGTATGGAAAAGGCATAATGGCAAGTTGTGCATATTGAAAACTTGGTAAATATATTTTTATCCTTGCTAATATATTTATCAGTATAGATTCAATTGAAGAATAAGATAGGGAAATTATGCAAAAATAAAGAGAGAAAGGTAATCAATAAGTCATACTTCCAATAAATTAGATATTTTAATAAGAAGCCATTATATTCTATCACTTTCTCTTTTGGCCTGTTAGCGAATAGACAGCTTTCTACTGTACAGTAAGCTCCTTGGAGATGGGACCCAATTTTTATGTGCAATTCTTTAGATTTATGATTATAACTTAGTATGTTTTCTGTGGTGGGGAGTTAGTAAATAATTAATAAACTTTAAAAATTGAAGTGAAATTCTACTCAGTAACCTGTGTTAGCTTAAATTATTTCTCATTTCTGAGCATGTGGCTGGACATGTCTTCTTCAAAACACGGCACAGCCACTCTTTTCTCCCACTGAGGATTTCCAAAAGAAAGGAGAGGTGACCTGGTTGTTTTCTTGACAGATGTAGCTGTGAAAAGGAGGTCTTTGAAGTTTTGACACTACTTCTTCTGTGTATTAATATCTGGGCAGGGAATACCATTTAAATAATTTAATTATTTATATCATTATTTAATATTATGAAGTCATGTTTGTGAAAGAAAGAAAGGCAGACTTCATGCCCAGTTAGGAAATAAAATGTTTAACTTTACCCTAATGACAGCTTCATAGAAATCACTTCTGTACCACCCTAGAAACAGAGTCATTGAATCCATTCATGTATTATATGTTTTCATTTTAGGTTTGCTGGCCACCCTGAGTATCCATTTTCTGATGATTATTAACTTGGAGGCCTTTGTCCTGATCTCCACTAGAAGCCCTGTGTGTGGATAGTGAGGCAAGAAATGTCTCAGATGTTGGGAATTGCATACATCAGCATGAATTTCATCCATGTTGTTTAGAAACACATACTCAGCAAGATTTAAGTCCATAGGTCAGGAAAGAAAGGCACTCAATATTTGTCACATCCTGTAACAATTAAAAATTTTCCCCACAAATCTCTTTCCTATTCCAGTCTTGATATTTTCTTTCCTCCTGACTCAATAGAGCACAAAATTGATTTACCTAGAATTTCTGTGTGTGTGTGGAGGTGGAATGGGATACAATAACAGTAATTTTATAGATACTTCTGGAGAGGACTGGATAGAGTTTTCATTCCCTAGGGAAGTAGTAGTTAGCAGTCATTTATGAGTCAGTGATCCTTTAGGAATTCAAAGACCAAGAGGACACATTCCATACAGTCTGGATGGTGAGAAACATATTGAAAGGATGATCAGCAATGCATAGGCTCCCTTTCAGCAGCTCAGGGGATCATTAGACCAGGAAATCCCAGAACGAGGTAACCCCGTGTCAGGGTTGGCCCAGGAGGTGGGAGGGGAGCCAGACTGGAAGGATGACTAGGAGTCAGATATATTGTAGTTTTATGAGTGGGGAGTTGAGCACATATATGTTTGGGAAACTTTGGGACATGCTGCTTTGCTACTTCTCTGCTGTAGACAAAAAGAAACTTTTCACAATATTTTACCTCAGAACCAGAGCTGAGAGTCAGAGCTAGACGGTTGCATGTGCCCTGGAAACAGTAATGAGCTTGTAGGCTTGTATTTTGGCACTAATTTGGCAAGAAACGACTGATCAAATCACCTTGAACATTAGCTCCATGTTTATCATAATTTCTTAGGTTCAAAAACATATTAATTTGATATACTGGATCCTTTTAAGTGTCTCATACACAAAGCAAGGCACACTTACAGATAGAAAACACAAAACATTCCTAGGCCTTTAAATATTTTTGGTATAGCCATTGTGAATGTGACAAAAACACTTAGTAATTCCAACTCTTCTAAATTTTCAAATACCATTTCAAAATACTGCAATGAAAAATCACACAATGTTTACAACATTCATTAACTTTTAGGAAAAACTTTTTTTAAACATATACATCTATCTTCCATAAGTTTTGTGGGTACATAGTCAATCACGTAATTGTAGGGAACTATATTTTGAACTGAAACTACATTGTTAAAATTTGAGACAATCGTGGACCAAACAATGATAAAGAATTTTGAGACTAAAAGTTGTTCAAAACCTGGGTACACTTTCTAATACCTATACCTGCAATTGTTTCTTCCTCTCATGGCCACATTCTGTGTCATAACCACTAGGCTTTCTGAAGCCATGCTCTTCAGCTGGGACAAAATCAAAAACCCACAGTATTTCCTAAAATAATTTATCATTTAAATTAGAAAAGGTCATATATGTTCCCAGATTTTTGTTCACATTTGCATAACCTTATTTCATTAAGACCCACTTAATAATTATTGGGGTTGAATCTTATTGGCAGGCTGTAATTGTACCCTTTTCTATTTATAATGCCTCCTTAGATATCTTTTTAGTCATTTCGTTAAAATTCATCCTAAAGTGTTCCTCCCCTGGGAAAATCAGTGTACATGATAAAAGTGGCCAAGCAATCTCCCTAAGCCTATTTCAGGCAGGAAAAAGAAAATGAGAAGATGCCAAGCCTCAAGAAACTATACGGTCTAATGAATTCAGAACTGTTCAAAAAAGAGGGCCAAACTTTAAAAACATTGAAAAAGCTAGAGTTTTGATTTCTGGTTGCATAGATAAAGGACTTGAAAGTCAGCACTTCCTTCCTCATATCAAGAAAAAAGATAAACAACCTAAGAATGAACTCTCCTTAGGTCCACCAGAAAATTGAAGTCACAGGGCAAACTGCAGATCTAAAATTGGAGAGACAGGTGGTTACAGAATAGCACAACTCCATGAGAGCAAGACAACAACAAAGTTACTTGGCTGACGTTACTCAATTTCAGGGCTTACTAGAAGGCTGCAGCAATCAAGACAGTTTGGTGCAGGGGACACACAGACATGCCGATCAATGGAGCAGAAGAGGGAGCACAGAATAGAGCCAGACAAATGGAGTCGAAACATCTTCGAGAAGAGAACAAAGGCAATGCAATGGAGAAAGAACAATCTCTTTAACCACTAGATATCCACATGCAAAAAGTGAATCTAGATTCAGACTTTATACATTTCAGAAAACTCAAAATGATTTATCGACCTGAGTGCAAAATGGAAAAGTATAAGACTTTACAAGACAACACAGGTGGAAATCTAGATGATCTTGGGCATGGTGATGACTTTTTATTTAATTTTTTTCAAATTGAATTGCCAAGTTACTTTATTAATAAAATATTGTCATAATCACTTTTATAAGTTTGAAATACCAAGCAGTATGGGAACCCTCAACAGTTTCAACAGTATTGTGTGCCATCTATTTTACATTGCTGACATTATTGATTTTTTGATACATCATTTGCCTCTTTCATCTTGGGAACTAACATAGTTTAGTCAATTGCCTCATCATTGCTCCTTTTAGTAGATATTATTTCAATACACCACACTTCAGGGAAATTATCAGATATTGGTGGGCTTGAATCTTTTGCTTTAGTTTCCTCCAAAGTAGCTTTGTATATTAGGTCATAAATATTTCCTGAAACTAAATCGACACATTCAAGGGAAACAGTATTAAAGGCATGATCTATGAAAGAAAAAAATATGTTAGACTTCTTTATAATGAAAAAAATCTTCTCTGTGAAATATACTATGCAGAGAATGAAAAGACAAGCTTTATACTGGTCAAAAATGTTTGCAAAACATATTTATAATAGATCAGTATCCAAAATATAAAAAGGGCTCCTAAAGCTATGTAGTAAGAAAACAAACAACTTAAAAATTAGCAAAATAACTGAACAGACACTTCACCAAAGAAGATATATAGATGACAATTAAACATATGAAAATTTGCTCAACATTATTTGTCATTAAGGCATTGCATATAAAAACCAAAATGAGATACCAAGGATTGGATGTCACCATCATGGCAGAGTGAAGTCTCTCAGAAATCTTTCCCCTCCAATACAGAACAAAGTAAACATCCATAATCCAACAGAGGTCATCCAAACACAACATAAAAAAAGTTGGAAAAACCCATGCAGCCATATGATGGAGGGCAGAGTGGTTGGAGCCCCCCTAGAAAAATTGGAATGGGGTGAGAGAAATCTTCACTCCTTCCCCTTAAAGACTGCAATCGGGGAGAATGGGAGGCCTCCAAGAAGGAAGAAGCAGGGGAGGGGACGTTTCTTTGTGGGAAAATCAAAGAATCCCCAGGGCCCTTGCAGCCTAGAGGTAATCCCTCAACTGGGGCAAAAGTTTTCATGGCAGGTGACTTTATCAAGCCAACACCTCAGGAGAGCAGCAGGAGAAAACTCTGAGATTATGCAGGATAATCATAAATATTACAGATGAAAGATACAGTGGGAGAAATAAAAGAAAATCTGGATTCCCCAAATGCTCAAGTGGAGACCATAGAGGAATGTATCAGCATAACGGAAGATAGACATGTTGAAATTCTCCAGATAGAGGAGGAGAGAGAACTAAGACTAAAAAGAAACCTTGAAAGTCTGAGAAATATCAGACTCAATTAGGAAATGCAACATAAGTATTATAGGTATTCAAGAAGGAGAAGAGAAGGAGAATGGAATAGAAAGCTTGTTGAACAAAAATAATAGCAGAGAACTTCCCAAACCTAGAGAAGGAAATCCGTGTGGAAGAGGCTGCCAGATCTCCTAAATATGTCAATGTAAAAAGACCTATTGCAAGGCATATAATAGAGAAACTGGCAAAACTGAAAGACAAACAAAGAATACTAAGGGTAGCAAGGCAGAAGAAAATAACCTATGAAGGAACCCCCATCAGACTTTCAGCAGATGTCTCTGCAGAAACCTTACAGGCTAGGAGAGACTGGAGTGACATATTCAAGTCATTGAAGGACAAAATCGTTCAGCCAAGAATATGCCATCCAGTGAAAATATCCTTCTGATACGATGGAGAAATAAAACTTGTCCCAGACAAACATAAGCTAAGAGAGTTTGTTGTCATGAACCCCCTCACAAGAAATCCTCCAGAAAGCCCTCATACCTGATAAAAAAGGGGGAGAGAGGGGTTAAAAAGCATGGAGTAATGAGTTAAATAAGTAGACAGAAGTAGAGCAGGATAGCAATCAATGAAGTATACCATTAAAAACAAAGGGAAGGAAAACACAAAAAACAGAGGTAATCATCTCATTTCAACCACAAACTCATACCACAAGATGAAATAAGATGTGAAAAAAACAACTTAGGAGGGGAAGAGGAAAGGCAGTGAATCGATTTAGTCTATGGAAATTAGAAGCCATCAGAAAAGGACTATCTTATCCCAACATCTTGAATACAAACCTCAGGGTAACTACTAAACAAAAAAGCAGAACAGACACACAAGTAATAAGTAAGGAGACAACAAAGAAACACAACATAAAAACTACTTAACTCGATTGGTGGACCAAAATGCACAGGCCGAGAAAAAATGGAAATGCAGGAGAACCAGACAATGAGGGATAAAATGGCAGCACTAAGCCCTCAAAAATCCATAATCACACTCAATGAAAATGGATTGAATTCTCCAATAAAAAGACACAGACTGGTGAGATGGGTTAAAGAAGAAGACCCAACAATATGCTGCCTCCAGGCAACACATCTCAGCTTGCATGACAAACACAGGTTCAGAGTGAAGGGATGGAAGAGGATACTCCAAGTTCATGGCAAACAAAAGAAATACTGTGTTGCAAATACTTATATCAGACTTATATGCTTATATTAAAGCAGAGTTCAAGATAAGACAGGTAAAAACAAAGAGGGGCAGTATATAATGATCAAGGGACATTCCATCAAGAAGAAATAACACATAAATATCTATTTGGGATGCAGCAAAAGCCACATTAAGAGGGTAATTCATCACAATACAAGCTCACCTTAACAGAAAAGAAAAAAACAGAAATCTGAAAGTACACCTAAGTGAATTAGAAACAGAAGAACAAAGGAAACCCAAAGCCACCAGTAGGAGAGAAATAATAAAAAATCAGAGCAGAAATTAACACTACTTAAAAAAAAAAAG